CGCCGGAGTGGGGGTCAGCTGAGGCTCAGAAGCCAGGGCAGAGCGGGGACCACCCCGGGACTGGGCGGCACTGGAACCGCGGGCAGGGCCCTGCCGGGCTGAGCGCCCCACCGCCTACTCGGGGTGAGGACTGCGGCCGACGCCCACGCAGCGGGGCCCACGCGCGCCTGGCGGCAGGTGTGAAGCTCGCTGAGTTGCCTGTGCGGAGGGATTCCTGCCCACCCACTCGGCTCTTCCTGGAGCGCCCGCCCGCCCAGCTCTCACCCGGTGCCTCGTGGACCCACCGACTCGGCAGGGCTTCATAATTATTATTTTAAAATGGTCACATGGTGCCGTTTGGAGGAGGGGACGCGGGGCCCAGGAAGAGTGTCCGCAGTGGGGAGCGGGTGGTTGCCGAGGAGAGAAGCGGACAGCATCCACTGCGGCCAAAAGCTCAGAGCACCGCCCTTTGCCAGAAACCGCAGCCGCACCCCTGGCTCCCCAACAAGAGCCACGGGCTCGGGCCCCCCCGCTCTGCGTTCACCGCTCCCGCCGCGGAACCGCACTGTTCGGGACCGAACCGATTTCCTCAGCTCTGCAGAAGCTCTGGAAATCTCCCCGCAACCCCCCTCCCTGCACACCCTCCTTTGCCTCGCATCCAGGTGGACTTAAATTTCAATCCGTTTGATGAGTTGTTTTTATCATAATGGGAATAGAAATGGACCTGGAGACTGAAGGCAGGATGGAGGCAGTTCTGGGCGCGGCTGGCTGGGCTGCTGTGTGTGGGCCCGGTGCCAGCCCCTGGCCTGCGTCGCAGCAGATAGGCACACAGTTGTCCTTGACCTTGGTGTCTTAAGTCAGGGCCAGAAAGCTTCCTAGGGAGTGATCTTGCCCCAGTTCTTGGGTCAACAGGGCACCTAGTTTCTAAAGGCAGGGGGCGGGGTGTGCTGGGAAATGCCCTCTCCCTGCCACATCCATCCCCCACTTTGGCCTTCCTGTGCGGGGCAGTGGCGCAGGCTTTGAAGTCACACGCTGCCTTTGTCTTTCTCTTGATCGCATAAATTTTAATTTTTCTATCTTATTGTGAAATATATTAACTCTAGCAAGTCCACCACTCAGCTTTATAGTTTGCAGTGTTTTTCTTTAATTAGAGAAGTGATATATTACAAATATTATGAAAGCTCTGTCCACCTCCCTAAATGCTCGCTTTCTCCCTCCATCCTCAGTAATTATCCAGACGTTGGTGTCTGTCACCCCCATGCATAGTTTTGTATTTAACTATAAACGTCCATATGTAAAAATCTTGTCCGTATGTGTTATATTGAATAGCAAGGCTTCGCATGGTTAAAAAATGGCATTGAGCCATACAGACATTTTTGCAGTTGGTCCCAACGCTACTGCATGCTTGAAGAAACTGTGGACGAGTTGCCTCACCTGTTTGAGCCACACAGAGATGTATTAAGATGCTGGTTGTATTCATCTTGACACAGTCCAGGTGAGCAAGGATCAAGCCCTAAAGAGAAGGAGACAAATTTGATGTTATGGAAGCAGAATCAACAGTGCTTTGTGAGTAATTTTCCGTATGGGATGACAGGTGTGATTCTTGCACAGGTAGCTGACTGGGAGGTTAACACCAGTCACTGAGATCAGGGCGTGTTGGGGCAGTGATGCTGCTGGGGGTAAATGGGATGAGTCCCTCTTTGACCTGCGGGATTGGAAACCCAGCAGCGCATGTAAGTTCAGGAGCTGGCTTTTTGGACCTGAAGTTCAGGCGAGGGTTCCGAGCTGGAGATTCCTCGCTAGGTTCCTTTAGCATCCAGCAAGCATGGACTTTGGGAAGTGGGGCAGCTCGGTGTGAGTGGCCCCCATGTCACTTTTACCTGGAATCCATAACATGATTCACTCCTGCAGATTTCTGCAGGACTCTGGCACGTGGCCGCAGGAGACCTGGGGGGATCACCTAGTGGCCATGTCACTTTCAAAGGCTAGAGTTGTGTTTGAAACATTTCTTTCCTTCTAATAACCTGTGATTTCCTTGTTCATGGAATTACTTGCCTTAGAATTAACAAGTTCAGAGACTTTACTAGGTCCTGCATTGCTCCTTTGTATTCACCTGAACCTGCCCCCTTGTACTTCGAGGAGCCGCGGGATTGCTGGCAGTACCGTGCATCCCAGCATTTGTTCAGTCTCAGAATCCTCACTGAGAGTCTCTCTGCAGAGCGTTCTTCTCCAGGACGCCAGGCGGACCACTCATGTTCTCCTTTGTCACTGCAGGCCTGGCTCAGGGGCCTCTGGTTCATCGTCACTAGTTAGCAGCTGGTTTTCACTGGGAAATGTCTCCTTTTGCTCGAAGGAAAGATGCCTTCCGCTGCCCCTGCCCCAGCCCCTGCCCCAGCCCCTGCCCCTTCCCCTTCCCCTGCCCCAGCCCCTGCCCCTGCCCCTGCCCCAGCCCCTTCCCCTGCCCCAGCCCCTGCCCCTGCCCCAGCCCCTGCCCCAGCCCCTGCCCCAGCCCCAGCCCCAGCCCCAGCCCCTGCCCCTGCCCCAGCCCCTGCCCCAGCCCCTGCCCCTGCCCCTGCCCCAGCCCCAGCCCCTGTCCCTGCCCCTGCCCCTGCCCCTGCCCCAGCCCCAGCCCCAGCCCCAGCCCCTGCCCCAGCCCCTGCCCCTGCCCCAGCCCCAGCCCCTGCCCCAGCCCCAGCCCCTGCCCCTGCCCCTGCCCCAGCCCCAGCCCCTGCCCCTGCCCCAGCCCCAGCCCCTGCCCCAGCCCCAGCCCCTGCCCCTGCCCCTGCCCCAGCCCCAGCCCCTGTCCCTGCCCCTGCCCCTGCCCCAGCCCCTTCCCCTGCCCCTGCCCCAGCCCCAGCCCCTGCCCCAGCCCCAGCCCCTGCCCCTGCCCCTGCCCCAGCCCCAGCCCCTGTCCCTGCCCCTGCCCCTGCCCCAGTCCCTGCTAACAGCCCAGTGAAATGTCCTGGCAGACCTCCTTTTGGATCACAGGAATCCAACCAGAGTGGCTCAAGCAAAAGTGTGGGTTGGGAGCCAGTTTGTTGTTATAAAGATCCGGAAAGACCTGGGGAATGGAGGGTAAGGAGCGGCTGTGAATGGGGTGCGGCCCAGAAGCAGCTCTGGCCCTGGTTCTCTCTCCTCTCTTCATCTCCTTTCTTCCTCCTCTTCATTTTCTTCTTCTCCTTTTCCTTTCCTTCTTCCGTCCCCTTCCTCCTCACTTGCAGGGGTGATATCTAGGCCCCAGGCCCTCTCTGGTCCCTCTATCACCAGCTTTCTTCTCCTTTCCTCCTTTCCTTAAGCTCTTACCTCATTCTCTTCCCATCTCCACCCCCCAAAACTGGCAGCTGGCCTTTAACTTGTATTTGAACTTGTATCTGGCCTATAATTGCCCAGACTGCAACACTGAGTGACCTTTTTTGCTCGAAAGCCCAAGGCCATCTGGCAGCAATCTCTCTGTGGACGGGATTCGGAGCTTCTCCGAGAGAGGGGCTGGTTGGCTGAGCTCCTCAGCCCCTCTTCCTGAGCCGGGACCCAGTGTCCCAGGCTGCTGGCCAGAGAGGACTGGGTCCCCCTGGTCAGGCACAGCCTGGGCCGGTCAGCAGTGACAGGGTGCAGATGGGGATGGAATCTCTGGGAAGGGATTTGTGGGGGGAGGAGTTATCAGGTACAACCAGTACAAGAACTGTGTCATAGAACCCCTCAAATGAACTTACACCAGGGTGGTGATCCTACATTTGGCTCACACTCTGGATGGGACGTCATGGCTTATAAACTGTGCACAGGTGACTGCACTAGGTCAAGGGTGTCCGTCTCTGAGGGGACGGATGTACTGATTTCCAGCCACACCGAACAGCGTGTGGAATTAGCTCTCAGTCGTCCTTCATTGTGCTCACACGTTAGGGTGCAGGGGGGGCTCGGTGAGTTCGACAGTCATCCTGGAGAGCATGGCCATACTGTTCTCCGGTCACAAAGACTTGACATGTTATTTGAGACATATACCCCCAAAGCTGGGAGCCCTCGTAGTGTTCCTCACCAGCACAGTGACTGGCAGAGGGCAGACCCTGAACCCCGCGTGAGGGCCCACCCCCTGGGCGGCTCGCCCTCGGGGCCACACGCCTGCAGCCCCTGTGGTCACAAACTGGCCTGGAGTGTCCGAAAACAGGCTCAGACATGAAAACCTCGCGCCACTTGTATACAACTGGGAAACATTACAGAACTTGAATCTTTAAAATAAAATTTTAAAAAAGGCAGCCCACAAACCCAGCTTATGCAACTTAGCGACCCCGAGACGAGCAGAGGAGAGCGAGCCTGATTCCGCTTCACAGGTGGTTTTGATTTAGAAAATGTGCCGAAGAGGTCTCGTTTTGCTGCTAATAAAAGTGAAACTACTCTCGAATGTTTCAGGGCTCATCAGAGTTTACATGTACTCTCTTTTCCACTTTTGTCTACCTGGATAGTCTTCTCTCTCCATTTCCTGAGTCAGTCACTGTGTACTGTGGGAAACTGTCCTCGTGATGCAAACTACGTAGGATCCTGTTCTGACAACAGGAGTTAATCATCACTGGAAATATTGGGAAGAGCCGGGAATGTTTGTATTCCTAGGGGACAACTTAGCATTTCCGGATACACAATTATTCAAGTCCAACTTGTGCCTCCTCTGGACTTTCCTTCCCCAAACTCCCTCTCCTGTAGGCAGACCAGCAAAAGCAAAGAGCTGGGTCCCCTGGTAACTTACAAGGCAAGGAGAATACTTCAAAACAATTGGCCTTGAGCTGACATTGGTATTCTGTAATACGTCGATATATTATGTTTCTTCTTGCAAAATTGTACCGTGTCCATATGACCATTTTTTACCCTCAAAATCCAGTCCAGTTACTTTTGAAAGAAATTTTGGGAGTTGGATTGCCAGATTCCTGCAGGATCCGTGTTAGGAAGTCCCAGTTCTGTGGCCTTGAGCCGTGTGACAGGTGGTTATGAGAATGAGCAGAAATGAGGAACACCTTCTTCTTGTGTCCCCTCTATAGAATAAGAAGATCTACTTGGACATTATTCACACATACATGGAAGTGCATGCTACCGTTTACGGCTCCAGCACGAAGAATATTCCCAGTTATGTGAAAAACCATGGTATCCTCAGTGGGCGGGACCTGCAGTTTCTTCTCCGAGAAACCAAGGTAAATTCTTAGTGGTTTTGTAAAAATTCACCGGCGTTGTTTTCAGGCTGCTTTCCGTTGGCGTTGAAAACGGGAGCAGAGCCTCCCAGGCTTTGTCTTCAGTGCTGCTGTGGTTCCTGGGGTCATTTCTGGGCAGTGGTTTTCTAGACCAGCAGTAGCAAAAAGTTAGCGAATTATGGAAGGAGGTTGCCCAAGTTTAAAACTTACTTACTGAGGACCTGCTCTGGGCCAGGCATCAAGTGAGGAGCTGGGGATACGGTGGCAAACAGGAAAGGGGGGGCCCTTTCACCTCAAGCCTGGTGTGCTCCCCCACTCCCCAGTCACCACTGCTCAAGAAATCGGTCCCCCAACTAGCTGTTCTTTGCATCTCCTCCTCTAAACTGCACATTGAAGAAGGCCAGACAAGGGAAAGCCCCTTCGGGCTGGACGAGCAGGGAGGGCATCACGAGAGATGCAGACGTGAGAAGTGGATGGGGTCTGGATGCCCCTGGCACTGGGGTGCCGGGTGGTGGAGGTGGAGACCAGAGTTCAGCAGAGAGCCAGAAACCGGCCCAGCTAGTCTAAGTAAGTGTTGGGAAATAGTGACGATAAAAACTTATAGGGGCCGAGGGCTGATGGTCACGGACAGAGACAGAGTTCTGGCCTGGTGGCGCAGGGAGCTGGGGAGCCGCTGATGGAGGACTATTTCAGTGACATGATGACTGTGTTGTTTCGGCACCGTGGGGAAGTCTGCCCAGTGTCTGTAACTCTGCCAGGGAAGTACTAAGTAACATTAGCAGACCTGAGAATAGACCAGGGTTTGGTTGCAAAGGGTTGGTAATGTGTTAGGTAAGCTCTCTGATGGTCATTATTAAGCTTTCATTTCTGAATATTACAGATTTTGACTGAGCAGTTTCTATGTGCCAGGCATTGTGCAAGGGATACAGGGTGAGAAAAGCAAACAGGCCCTTGTCTCCGCGTCTCCTAAGGATAAAGCTCATTACCAAGAGTGAAGTTTTCAGCTCTGGCCCCTGACTGAATGTGTTTTCATTTTCAGGGTAGGGAGAGAGGCTGAGTGGCATTTTAGGGCTGATACTTCGAATCTGGAGAGTGTGCCCACATGTGCCATGCTGGGTGAGTCTCACACAGCCTTCAGAGGCTGGCAGGGTAGGTGCTGTTGTTGACTTTATCGTCAGCACGAGGAAACAGACCAGAGAACTGGGCTCGCCCGCAGTCCCGGAAATCATCTGGAAGGTGGCGGTAATTCACGGTTTTTTATTGCAAATTAAAGTGCTGCTGGCCCTTGACGCACCTTCCTCATGAATAAACACACATTTCATGGCTACTCCCCAGCCAAAAGAATGTGCATCTCTTTTCTGCCTCAGTTTCCCCATGTGTCAGTGCATTTGACCATTTCTACCTCCCAGCTATTTGTGTGATGCCACGAAGAAACGAGTTTGATGAGTTATTCGCGTCCTTGGCCAAAGGTGTGGTTGTTTTACTTAGGACTTGATTTTCTTACAAGGTCATCTGTAGTCCGCTGACTGGCATCAGGACTGAAGTGTGTTCCCAGCCCGCTCAGCTTGCTTCCCGTCCGCCCTCCATCCCGAGTGACACTTTAGAGCCGGTGGTGTGCGCGGGCCCCTGCATGGCTCTGCCGTTTTCCTCTGCCGCCTCTCGCTTTTCCCCACGTCCACTGGGCAGCCCAAGCCCCTTCCCGATTGCCTTGGGCCGCGCTGGTCCTCAGCAGCCTGGCATTACTGTCCCGCACACTTCTGTTAACCCAGTGAGTGTCTCCCTCAGCCTTGCAAATTTAGAAGAGCTCTTACCGACCTACCATCCGTTTACCCTGAGGCCGAGGCGGAGGCCGGGAAGGCCCAGGCTGCCCTGTCAGAGGTTACCTAACAACCAAGGATTGCGGCTTGAATTTTGAGCGTGAGGGGCATATATTTATCCTTGAAAAATGGATGCCTTCACAAGATGTCACTGGTCCCATTTTGTATTGCCTGCTCGTCTGTCTAGCATATATTAAAGTGCTTCCAGTAGAATTATGGCTGAAACAGTGGGCAAGTATGATGAAAATGAGGCAGTGTATCACCGAGACACCCCGCCCCTTATGCCCAGAACACAGCAGCAGGCACTAAAATGAGTGAATCTTGGGCTTTGAAATAATGACACTAAAGACCAGTCAGGCTTTGCATATATAACCCTTTCTGCCTCTAACTCCTTCCTCTGTGTCTCTGAGCAATTTAAAAGCAATTTATCCCAATCCACAGTGAAAGTGGAGAAGTGGAGATGCAGAGAAGCAAATGTATGCAGAATGGATGGCTTTTAGGCTCCTTACAGGACAGGGAAGTGAATCTGGTGCTCCTTGAGGGTTCGAGACAGACGGGAATGATGGATGCGTAATCAGCTTCTGACTCATTATTTTCCTTCATGAGCCATCTCCGAACCTGCGCAGCCCAGGAAGCCCCTGCTCAGCAGAATGCTGTCCTGGCACGCAGCGGGGCTCAGGTGTCGCTCGCAGGCTCCGCTGCAGGGCGCCTATGAAGGCGGGAGGAATCCAGCGCGGCACCAAAATCAGGCCAAAAGAGCTGGGAAGTCCTTGACTCTGAAAGACTCTTCTAATAAGCATATAAATTTGGGTGAATTAATTATTTATCAGAGGACCACAGACCAGTCCTGGAATCCAGCCGGCTCCAGGAGTGCCGGTTTAGCCCCGACTGGGTTAAGCATGACAGGGGGGCATGTTTCTGCTTTGGTTTAAGTCCCTGTCTCTTTTCATGTGATTTCTTCTTTCTCCTTCCTAACTTTAACCTCTTCATGCCCACCCCCATCCCCCAGTCTTACCATGGAAGCTCCCTATAGAATGGGCGTTTTGCATCCTACTCTGGGATGGAGGAACATTTGGAGGGAGCCAGAACATGTACCTCCCTTTGTTTTAAAAAAAAATTACATTTTATTTTTGTTGACATTATTATAGATGTCTCCCATTCTCCCCCCACCCCCATTTGCCCACCTTTACCCAGACCCCACACGCCCCCCCTCTGGCCTTCAGCACACTGCCCTCTGTGTCTGTGGGTAAAATGCACGGAAGTTCTCTGCTGATCCCTTCGCCTTTCATCCAGTTACCCCGACCCCTCCCCTCTGTGGTCTGTCCGTCTGTTCCAGTATCCGTGTCCCTGTTTCTGTTTCATTCGTCACTTTATTTTGTTCATTAGGTTCCACAGGTAAGTGAGATCATGTAGTCTTTGTCTTTCTCTGACTGGCTTAGTTCACTTAGCACTGTAATCTCCAGGTCCATCTATGCTCATGGACCCCTCTTTCGAGATCAGACATTGAGCACGTTCTGGCCGTGGGGACCTGCAGGAAGCCCTGCTGCTCCCTTCTCCACCCGACCCCTGCCCGCTCCCCTCCAGCCCGGTGGGTCACGGAGCCCATTTCCTCGCCGGGTCAGCTCACAGCCTACCTGTGGGCTCACCTAGAAGCTTGGGCGGGGTTGGGGGTATGTAGTGTGTACTGTCCCTGTCCCATTCCACCCTCATGTCTGACCCTCTCCTCGCCCCCTCCAGGCAACCCTGGCTCTTCCCACAAGCCAGGAGGAGGTCACACAGCCTTTCTCAGAACCCGGGGCTGAGACCGCCACCCTGGGGGGACGTGACTCCTGCAGCCCATGGTGGCAGAGGGCTTTGCTCGTTCTGTTGGCAGGGTCGTGCTCAGTGCCTGGCTTGTCGCCGGCCTTCAAATAACTGAGAACGAAGGAAGGAGTCAAGATGAAATCTGTTCCCCACCTGGGATCTTGGGGCCATGCCCTCTAGATGCAATTTCTTGCTTTTCTCATGAATGACCCACCTGGGTTTCTAAGATCCCCCCAGAAAGGGACACTTTCCTTCTGATGCCCCTGGCCTGCCTGTCCTGTGAGACAGCCCGAGGGCTCACTTACCGATGGAGCAGCCCACCTTCCCTTCCTGTTTCAGCTGCCGGCACAGTCGCGCTCAGTCGGTCAAGCAGTTTTCATCCTGGTGACCAGTACTGCACCTAAATTATTCTTGTTCCAACTAGACGGAGGAATTTTGCATACACATATATTCCTGTCCCTCCCCCACTCCCACATATGCATGCAGAATGAAGAGTGTGCAGATACGACTCAGTAACCTCTCTGACCTCCGGCACAAAAACACATCCCTACATCCAGATACATGAGAAACGTTCAGCATCTCCTCACAGAGACGCTTGATCGCTGGAAAAATTTTACCTGTTAGTATTTATTACTTTGCTCATTTACCTGACAGATCTGTACTTAGTACTGAATATGTTCCAGGCCTTACTTTAGGCAATTTTGATGCAGCGGTGACTAAGACAGTTTTACCCACACAAGTATACAGGTGTTGGGAAGGAGACAAGCAGGTAAACAGGTAACATAACAATGTGAAAAGTACACGGGTAGGAGTAGAAATAATAAAAACTAGTCATACCAGCATAAAGCCGCCCTGTGCCGCTGTGAGCGAGCTCAGCCATCCAGCTTTGTGGACGGCGACGTCCGTGAGGTGACGGGTGCGGCTGCTGTGGAGGACAGCACTCGGTGGTCGGTCACTGCCGTCCGCTCGGCATGTTCATTTCATCACCGTGCCGATGACCACGGTCTTACGACAATAACAGCCATTTTCTGTACCCTCACCTGTGAGAAGTCCCTCCGTGAATTAAAAAGTCCTCTGATCTCGGTCCCCCGGAACTCGTGTTAGTGTGGAGGTGACACGGCTTGTTGAGAGCCTCGCGGTGGGGGGACAGCCGGGTGTGGGATTCAGCTGAGAGGTGGGGCGGTCAGGGAATGTCCCTCCCAGGAGGTGAGACCTGAGCTGCCTGTTAATGGTCACCCTCTTTGCTGTCATGGCTGGGATGGTCAGCCCCTGCCGTTCTGCGCCTGTCCACACGCCCCCTTCGCCCTCCTCCACCTACAGTGCTGGCTGCACCTTCCAGGTGACCAAACGCAGGCAGTTTTGTGTGGGTTCTGGTGTTTGTGTTGTTCCCAAAGGTCACTCACGTAACCAGGCAGACTCTGGGGAGTCCACCTGGTAAGCTGGTGTCCAGGAGCTAGTCTTGGGCTCAGCAGACTTTGGGGAGTCCACCTGGTAAGCTGGTGTCCAGGAACTAGTCTTGGGCTCAGCAGACAACTTGAGCACTCGGTAAAGTCGTCTTTGTCTCTGGCCCCTGGAGCTCTTCAGGGAGAAGCTTCAGGCCCCATAGGTTAGGGGCTTGGAGAAAGCCCACGAGGGGGCGGAGCCAACCCACATGGGAAAGAATTTGGCTTCTGCTGCCTCTCCTCAGCATCCGGGGCAGAAGGGAAGACAGATGGCCAAAGAAGGGGCCCTACAGGCAACATCTATGTTGCATCGCCTGTGAGGAAAATAAATTTTCTCAATACCTAGCCATTGCATGCATTTTTTAAAAATTTTATTTATAGATTTTTAGAGAGAGGAGGGAGAGGGAGAGAGAGATAGAAACATCAATGAGAGAGAACATCAATTGGCCACCTTCTGCATGCCCCCTCCAACCCCTCCACTGGGGATCGGGCCCACAACCTGGGCATGTACCCTGACCAGGAATTGAACTGGCGACCTCTTGGTGCATGGATCAACGCTCACACACTGAGCCACACCGGCCAGGCTGTATGGATTATTTTTAAAGACATAAAAGAGATACCAAAAATATAATGATTCCCAATCATTATATGAAGAATAAACAAGGCTTAGCAATAGCAAGTGGCCTCATGGGACTGGGCTTTCCATGGGGCACTCACTGCAAACCATATCCTCCCTCCCTCTCTCTCTCTCCCCCTCTATCTCTCCCTCTCCCTCTCCCTCTCCCTCCCCCCCCTCGATGGGTGTCCCTCCCCCTTTTTTAGTCCATGTACTTTATGAAACAATGAAAACTCATAAATGCACTTGCAGGGCCGGACGTTTTGTAAAAGCCCACAACCACAGCTCCTGCACACCTTAACTCCAACGAAACAACACAAAGCCGTGTGTAGGCGGCTGAATGAAGCCGAGTCTGGATTCAACTTGGACTTCTGTTTAGTAAGCATTTACCAAGTGCCAGGCTTTAGAATAGTTCCTTTCCATGAAGTATCTCATTTAATCCTCACAGCAGCCCCAGGAAATAGAGCACTATTTTCCCCATTTTACATTTGAAAAGACAAGTTGAGAGAGCTTGTGTTACCTTGACCAAGGTCCTGTAGCTAGAGAGAATAGATGATAAATGTGCCTTTGGAATCCATAGAAAGAGGGCTGGAACCATTTCCCGCATTACAGAACCTAGGATAGGGTGGAGTTGAGCTGTGAGCCCTGGTCTCCTGGGTCCCGGGGCCTGTGCTGTCGACCACATTGTCCTGATCACTTTGTGCTGGTAATCAGTGTATGGATCAGCTGAGGTTGATTCCCTGCTCAAACTCCCCCCCCCCCAGCCACCCACCAGCTTGGCTAATTAAAACTAGTCAGAAAAGTGTATGTTGATTATATGTTTCTTATTTTGGGTTATCTTTCATGTTCCTCATCCAAAGTGCCTGGAAACACCAACCCATGGCGTCTTCCTGGGAGCTACCTTGGTCCATGTTTAAAGGATCCCTTGTTAACGACCCCATTGAGGAGTTTTAACTGCCTCCTTTCACACAGAGTAAACATGTGAGTGGTTTCACTGAAACTCTGTCGATGTACAGGAATGTCCCAATCCTGTGCCGTGAATAAAACATGTGGTGCGTCATCTGTTCTCTCTTGCTCAGCATTAGTTCAGAAATTTGACTTTAGAGCATGTAATCGCTCCGTTTAGAAATGCTCACTGACGGAGCCAGAGCTGCAGCTATGGAGCTGTTCTGTCCTCTGGAATATCCTCACTAGATTCCAGCTGCTGACGACCAGATGAAGTATAAATAAAAGATGCCCAGTTTCCTCCTGGAGAGCGAAGCATCTGCACATGAATGCATTCTTGCAGCGTATCTCTTGCCCCCATGCTAAGGAAATCTGAAAGTGGGCAGGATGACAGGGAAAGTGGGGGGCTCAGAGGGAGAGTAATTTAGCGTGGCTACAGTCCCAGTGTGGGCAAAGCCGTGAGCGCCCAGTCTACGGAATGCCCTTGGCGGTGACGAACTCACTGTACCCTACCCTGTTGTCATCCAAGCCTCAAGTGTGCTGTTTGACCTTAACACATCTGTCCATTATAATATCACAGGAAATGAGGGCACAGGAAGCAAGACGGATTCTGCTTATTGACAGAACAAAAAATTGTTTTTGCGTTTCCAAGCGATGCATTTCCTGCATTTCTAATTAGTGTGATGAGAAAACTCATCGCCAAGAAATTGTGTGGTATTTGCTTAAGCTTCAGTCTAAAATTGTGAGGCTTTGGAGAGTTAGCCCGAAGTGTTTACTCTATGTGTACAGAGACGTTCCAATGCCAGCAGGGCAGAAGAGATGGTGCAAATTGTTATTCAGATATAATTAAACCTAGGTCACATTCAAGCCCATTAAGCAAGAGCCTCAAATCCTTTTAATTAATGGGTTCAGATTGGTTGGTCTGAAGGAGCTAATTAAATTTTTTTCCAGGGTTTCCTATTTAAATAGACAAGCACTGTGCTCCCTGCGTTCCCTCCAGAGTTCTGTGCGCTCGGCGTTCAGGAAGGTGTCGGCGCTGTAAGGCAGGCCCTGGTTCTCAGGTCAGGAACACTGAGCCCCCTCTGCATTAAACCCATCCGCATGGACGCTTCATCTGCATCGTGCAGCATCTTGTCAAAGAGATTGGAAAAGCCCTATGCTTTCCTGTGCCCAGCCTCGGCCTGATGGAGGCCATCATTCCCCTGGACAGCTTGTACGGCATCCCCCAAATCGGATGGGGGGGCAGATCAAAGTCATCTTTCCCCTGGACAGCTTGTATAACATCCTCCAAATCGGAAGGTGGGGGGCGATCGCAGAAAGCAACGCCTCAGGGATGGTAACCCTGGATTCTTCACGTTCAGTGAAACTGGCATGTGTTGGGCCTAACACGTCCCCATGTCCTTCCATCTCTGCTGCCACTGTCAGGCGTGCCCCCCATGCCCAGGCCTCGCCCACACACAGGCCGTCCCTGCTTTAATTCACTCCCGTTAGCTCCTGAATAAGAATGTGATCAGAAACGGGCTCCCAGTGCCGTGGAGATGCACCTTGTGTCCTGTGGCCTGCAGGCCCCGCGGCCACGCTTCCCTCCCCCACGTCTCCGGCGGTTCTGCCCTAGAGATGACCCGGCCAGAAGTGGGAGCTCAGCTGGCCTCTCAAAGCCTCTTGAACCGTCCCACCCCGATGCCTTCACGGGTGTTCCTGACAGTGTAGCAGTCACCTCAAGGCTTGTGGAAATGAAGGGTTATTTCTCCAAACAACAAAATGGTTAAGTACCCTTTTCTGTGCAGAAGAACATACAGTAATAGAGTAGGGAACCCTGCAAATCCTGTAAAACAGAGATTTTCTTTTCTTGTCATGGGAAAATCCCTGGGGGGGCTACACGGCGCTCCGATATGTCCCATGTGGGCTGTGCTCCGTGTTCAGCCCGGAATTGCGTGTCCAATACATCCTTTCTGTGTTTCCCAGCGTTGCTCAGGGAACCCGGCAGCCTGGTCTCCGGGCTCTCTGGGCAGAACCATTTTAAATAATCATCCAGTTAAAGCATCTGTGAAGGCAGGATTGCCGAGGAGAGGCCCAGGAGAGGGGAGCCAAGCCTGCAGCCATACCCACGCCTGCAGCACCCCCTTCGTCGTGGTGCCTGGCCCCGCGGGTGGCTTCAGTGTGGTGGCAGAGGACACGATGCCCCGGGCCCAGTTATCCTTTGTCCCTTGCTGTGCCTCTGGGGGTGGGACTGGCTCTTGATGTGGGCAGGGAGGCTCCCATCTCACCAAGCCCAGACTTGGACCCTGCCCATCAGTGACCTGCAGCTCTCCAGCCCTGAGAAAGACCCCGTGGTGAGGAGATGCAGCAAGGCATTTACGTGAGATGGTTCATTTCTGGGCCCAGGGATCAGGGCCACAGAAGGGCAGCAAGTCCCCTTTGTGCCAGCCGCTCTCAGCCGGCTCGCCGCGGGCTCTGAGGGTGGGTGCTTGCTGCCATCTATTGTCTGCTGCGGGGAAAGCCGCTGCTGGAGAAGGACGCAGCCCTGGCCCTGGCAGCCGGGGCAGCCTCTCCCCACGTGGAGGGAAAATAGAAGCCAACATGTTGGTGTCCCGAAGTGAAAACCCCATTGTGAGAGCCTGTGTTTACTGACCTGCCATCATCTTACAGCAGCTCCAGTTGAACTGTAATCAACCCACCCAGGGCCCTGCTGTCCCCTGCCCAGCCCCTGAAAGGGCCTGTTGTTCTTCGGTTCAGTGAAGAAACCTTCTGTTTAGTTAAGCAACTGTTTTTCAGTGTGTCTCCTGGTAAGTCACAGAAAGATGATTGTTTCGCCTTGGCTTTTGTTGTTCTTATTCTTTTACTACCTCCTCAACTTCGAGTCCCAACACTTCTTTCCTTTTTGTAAGCAAAGAACATGATGACCTGAGTAGCTCATGAGCCTGGGAAGTCCCCCGTCCTGCTGCCAGCTGACATATCTTCGCCCCGTCCCCCAGGGCCTGGGATCCTTCCAGCCTTCCCGAGGCTCCCACACAGGACCGGAGCACACAGCAGCCCCGTGAGCCAGGGATGCCAGTTCTGCGGCCGTGTTGACGCTCGGTGTGCTTTTCTGTCTTGCAGTTGTTCGTTGGCCTCGGGTTCCCGTATGAGGGCCCAGCCCCACTGGAGGCCATTGCAAATGGATGTGCTTTTCTGAATCCCAAGTTCAGCCCGCCCAAAAGCAGCAAAAACACAGACTTTTTCATTGGCAAGCCAACTCTGAGAGAGGTAAGCGTCTCTTAAGATCCTTCCACTTTAACAATACGATAATGGCTATTTGTTGAGTGCTACCCGCCGTCTAAGCTTATAGCCTTGGACGGTAGGTGTTAACGAACTTCATTTAACATAGTTGGGTGGAGGGAAGGAGCGCAGGGGCTCCGAGGGGAAGGCCGAGGTGATGTCCCGTAGCTAGGTGGTGGCAGAGCCAGAATTTGAATCCATTTCCACCCCTCCCCAGCGTGTAAGATTCTTTCACTCCACCCCGACTCTGTCTTCATTCAGACATTTCCAGCTCAGTGAGCCACTCTGATTTCCTGAATGTTTCGTTATGGAATAAGGGAGTCAGCTGATTAACAGGTGTTTTGAAGGAACTACTCTCTGTGATGAGCTGTGGGGAATAAAAACTGGGCTGTGGGGTCCCTGAAGAGCCAACAACCTTGAGAAGCAGCGTGAGCGGGGGGCTGACGCGATGTGCCCGGCACGTTCACCCACCACCCGCGGCACCGCCCTGAGAAGTGATCCTGCCCTTGCTCGAGCCCTTGCGGACGCTGTATTGGAGTTGCCTTCAGCGATCCTCTTGGAAATCCACGGAGGTGATGGATCACCATTGGAGGCAGTCGAATTTGACCTGGGGCAATACAGAGAAGTCCTTGAGAACATGTGCATGACCAAACCGGGTGTTTCTGCATCTGGTCAGAAGCAGGTGTGCACGAGAACCATGAGATTGATTTTTTTATGATTCTGAGGTAGTTGGTAAGTGGCTGTGTGTTGGCGTCACCGCGCCCTTGTCCTTCAGGGCCGCCCCCGGGACGGAGCAGCGCGTAGCAGCACCGGTAACACACGCAGTCTGCCACCTCTAAACGTCTCTGGGTCGATTCTCCCAACTCCCAAGTACTACATAAAATGCATTTTCCGTGATTATTCTTTACTAGTCAGTAAAGTTGATTATTTTGAGATTCTTTTCTCTGAACCTCCCAATCATTGCCGAAGTGGCCAAAGGAGAGGAGGGATGAGCAACGAGATCCATAGATGACCCTCAAGAAGATGAACCGGGGCCCAGATAACCAGGGGCAAGGCTTCTGTGTGTGTTTGCTTGCTTGCTTTTTCCCTCTGCTAACATAACAAGTTTGAATTCTTTGTTTTGGGGAGTGGGTTATTTTGGGGAGGTCATTCCTCAGCAACACGCAGTGCACATCTGTGGGCCGGTTCTGTGGGAGTGTTCCGTCTTCGGAAAGGTTCCAAAAGATGCTCCCAGCAGGGAGAACATCTCTGCTTTAGCATTTAAAACTGGACATTTGGGCTAGAAAATAAAAGCTAATAAATTATCCCTCAGTTTTAATTGAGGTAAAGGAAATCTCAGAAGTTCTATTTCTGCCCATGTTGTATAATTACTTGGGTTTCTATGGGTTTATTTTTACTTTTTTGGTGATAAATATACATAATGTAAACCTGACCATTTTAATGATTTTTTAAAAAAATTTTTTCCTTTTTATTGATTTTAGAGAGACAGGAAGTGAGAGAGAGAAAGAGAAACATCAATGAGAGAGAACATCGTTTGGCTGCCCCCTGCATGCCCCCTACTGGGGATCAGGCCCACAACCTGGTCATGTGTCCTGACCAGGAATCAAACTGGCGACCTCTGGGTGCATGGGGCAACGCTCAACCACTGAGCCACATCAGCTGGGTGAAATAATTTTATTTTTAACAAAAAGTTGCAAAGGTTGCACAGAGTTTGGGTTGTATCCTTGATTCAGCTTCTGGTTAACAGTAACATACTATAAAACCACAGTACGGTTGTCAAAACTAATTAATTAACATGGGGACTAGAGTATTATCTAAACTATAAACTTTATATGGACTTCACCAGATTTTTCAGTGATAATCTTTTTATATTCCAGAATCTCACATGGCATTTGATTGTCATATCCCCGTAGGCTCCCCCAGTCTGTGCCAAATCTCCAGTCTTTCGTGGTCATTCATGACCTTGACATTCCGGAAGAGTGCTAGTCAGTTTTTTGTACGCTGTCCTTCAGTTTGGATTTGGCTGATGAATTATCATGATTAGGTTGAGGGTTACACATTTTTGGCAATAATACCACGGAAGTGATTGTGCCCTTCTGAGTGTATCATATCAGGGGTGCATCATGTCAGTATGTCTCATCACAGATGATGTTAACCTTGACCACTTGATTAAGGTATTAACTATAAAGTAATAGTAACACTAGCCCGGTTGGTGTGGCTCAGTGGATTGAGTGTTGTCCCATGGACTGAGAGGTCCCGGTTCGATTCCTGGTCCAGGGGTGTGCAGGAGGCAGCTGATCGATGTCTCTCTCTCACATCAATGTTACTATCTCTCTCTCCCTTCCTTTCTCTCCAAGAAATCAATAAAAACATTTAAAAATAAATAAAGTAATAGTAACTATAAAGTTACCATTTGTCCTTATGTCGGGGGAAATACTTTGAGACTGCGCAAATACTCTGATCCCCTGCAGATGTTTGCCGTTGTCTTCCTGTGGGTCAGCGGGTCTTCCTGTAGCAGCTACTGCTGTGCTGTTCCAGTGGGGTATCCTTTTCCCTCGTCGTGGTTGTTTTTAAACGCGTGAAAAGCAAAGAAACCCATCTCTTTCCTTACTGCAGTTCTGTATACAAGCCTTCGAGGAACGGTTAATCAAAACTATCGGGCTGTGTTGGCAACTGGTGATAATTCTAAAGATTTTAATGCCACTTTGTTACAAGTGAATATTTTCCTGGAAAAAAAAATGTAGGACAATTAAGCACAGTGTGTTTCCCAGTGAATTACGCAATATGACATAGACCAGATCAGCAGTATGAAGTTATTGAGAGAAGTATGTTCGTTGTTTTCCATCAGTTGTCACCATTTAGTAATTTGCTTTTTGTTGAGATCATGGAAGGTTTCATTCTTCCTGGCTCAGAGAGAGAATAGGCCTGGAGCTGCCCCCGGCATTCGGCTGCTCTGTGCCTTCAGAGAGTCCCCTCTTGTTTGAATGAGTCTAGTTCAGCCTGCCCCGTGGGATCCTTTCTGCAGTTGCTCAGCAGGTGACCTCACACAGGTGACTTTATCCTGCTCTGGGGGGAGGCCTTGGGATGCAGGAGTCAGTTGGCAGATGTACACTATGCCCTAAGGGTCCATGGTCCAGTTGCTGCACTTGCGGGAACTTATTAAGACACATTTCCTGTTTTATAGGGGCTCAGAATTTGATATGGAAGAGTGATAAGGCAGATACCTAATCAACAGAAATGCACGAAGACTAGTTCAGTAGATCACAGAGGCACTTGGAGCTGTGCCAGGTGGAGAATGTGCTGGGCTGACTGAGGAGGGAGGTGCAGGAGCTGTGTGTCGAGGGAGAGGACGGGCCTTCAGGCTGCAGGGGCGTGGATGTCGGTGGGATGGCGGGAAACTCAAGGTCACTTGCCGTTACGCAGAAGGGTAGGTTCGGTCTGAGGTCCATCTCCCCTGCTGGAGATGGCCCAGGGGTCCAGAGAGCAGGCTGGGAGCCAGCGACATCACCTAGGTTTCAGACAAGCCAGTGACCTTGATCCCTTGGCCAGGTGGGCTACCTGCTCTGCCTGTTAGCTCACAGAGGCCACAAAAGTCCCCTCGCCAGAGATGCTTTCAATTGGAAAACAGGCATCAACAGTTCTACAGATTTCTAAGGGGCAAAAATCCCTAGAAATTATCCTTTTTTTCTCAGCAAATAGAAAAATTGTAACTGAAGGGTATATAATCATCTAGCTATCTTTTGTGCCTGTGCTAGTCTTCCAAGCTAAGCAACAATTGATCCACAGAAATTGCATCTATGTCTTGTTTGCCTTCATTTGAAGAGAAGAAAAGGTCCAGATTTTTCTTTGTTTTTAGAAAACAAAAAAGCTTTGTTTTTATTTTTTGCATTGGACCAGTTTTTAAAACCACAGTGTGTGCTGAGGAGAAAAAGTTCCATAATGGTGTGAGTAATGTGGTCAGTTCAAGTTACACTGTAAATGTAATATAAATTGGATTTTTATCTTTATGTTGGGAAACTTATTAGTAGGTTCTCAATCATTATTATAACATTTTGTAAACCATTAGAAAGTCTCTGGCTTCAGGGTATTTTGGTGTGGTTTTTCCCCCCCATAAAGAGAACTCATGTCCTCCTTGGAGATTTAATAGCCGCTCTGAAGTAATGTCTCATATTTAATAAGATTTTCATTACTTTTACAAACTATACGCCTGTAAATTTACTGATTGATATACAGGGAAGTAACTCAGATCAGGCGGTTCTCAATAAATTAACAAGAAGGAACATAACAGTCAGAAAGGGAATAATGAATCACAAAATGCCTTACTCATAAAATTAAGTAACCCCCAATAAATGTAAATGGATACAATGATAATGGCTCAGCATTTTGTGTTTTCCAAGTACTTACCACAACCTTGTAAATAAGCAGGGGCTCACAGGGAGGGGAGAGACTGCTGGTATGTCAGGGGCTAAAGAGGGGCCCTCATGGCAACTTTAATTTTCCCTGCTTCCATTTTAAGAATTAATTGTGTAGTTTGTTCTCCAGGCCACAAGATGAATGTTGTGTGACATTTTGCTCATCTTCAGAGAAGGTCTAATACAGGCATACATTCATTCTGGGATTTTTTTCAGGTTGGCAAGGTTTAAGAGAGTGATTGCAAGATGGGTGTTTACATTGGGTTTCTTTTTGTCTTTGTCTTAAGAACCCAATAGCACCCTTTAATATCGTCATTTTCCTTTCTGGATAAAGCAAATAAATTGTTAAAGGGTCTAGATTTGAATTTGCTCAGCTACATTTTAGCAGTGTGGTCTAGGGGAGTCGTAACCCCTCTAACCCTCAGAGTGCCCATTGATACACAGGAAACCTGAGAAATACGGTGTGTCAGCTGATTGGCACAGTGCTGGCCCTGCCAGGGGCTTCATCCACACGTTCTGAACCTAAAACACGTGCTGAGGGGAGCAAATGGTGTTTCCACGCTCCCTGAGCCTGCGGCATCCTGTAGGTTCTGTCACTAAGCAGGAGTCTGGGCGGAGGCAGAGGGTACCTGTCAGAAGAGACCCGAGCAGGCCAGCGCGGGGCGTGACTCCGCAGAGAAGGCAGGAGCAAAGCCTGGGTACCTGCACCTTGCAATCATGACTTTCCTGACGGTGCCCCGAAGGCTGGGAGCTGAGACTCGGTAACCTACTCACCCCGAGCGGTGCATGCACACCATCTGTGTGGTCGGGCACAGAGAACGGTGGCAGAACTGACGGAGAGGTGCCAGGTCGATCTTCCATCCTCTGCGTGCATGGCCTCAGACTGAAAGGGCTCGGCCTTTAAAGCAAGGGCCTCAACCCCGGCAGACCCGACACCTCCTATTATTATAAGAACAATGTAACACTTCTACTTAAATGAAACGTGCAAGTGATATACCCTACCTACCTGAGTAATTTCAAAAAAGAAAGATTCTCTAACTCCAATATAAGAGAGAAATAAAAGCAAAATAATTTATAGTACGGTAATACATATTTCAGTGTGTATGTAGTAAAAAAAAAAAACCTACTGATTTATACCCAAGAACTTACTAGAGGACATCATGATGTCTCGACCCTCTTTCCAATGAATGAGTTTGCTAACCAAGAGGAATACAACGTGGCTGAATCTCCTCAGCCCTTTCTGTTTATAACTGACATGAGAGAGGAGCTCACCAGAAGTGCCTGTGTACACACCTCTGTACCCGGTTGGCGTCAGCGGGGCGGCCACACATACAGACTGATCGGGCGTGTTGTTCAGGAGATTCAGACCATCTGAGTGACATTGACTTTGCTGAAATTTTTCTGAAATGGAAACGGCTTATTGGTGATGTTCCAAATACATAAAACAGAGTGAAACATCCCTTGATTTTCATGGCAAGTACGTCCCCAGCACATGGCGTGTGTGCTGGAACCGTGCCGAAGCGCTGGGCCCTGTGCACCCACCGGAAGCTGCAGGGCTTCCTTGTGCAGGACTGTCACGCACGTCACGAGGGCTCTGACAGCCTGGTCTCACCCCACCCACTTAGGGTAGCCCCAGTCTTTGTGGGAACGGAAAGTGCCCTCACAGAAGCCCAGAATGCCCCTTCACACCGGCTTTGAAGGGAGACCAGCATAAAGGAGGAGGCTCGCTGCGGGTAAACGGCTGTCTCACAGAACGGGCTCCTCAGGAACCGAGAGTCACCAGTGTCCAGACTCGTTTCGGTGGCCACACTTTCTTCTTAAAACAAAGCCCTCTTTAGGGCGAACACTGCTTTTCCTTGCTGTTCCGAATCCGGACTGTCCTGATACATTTTAAGGCTTCAGTGTCGTGCTTAGATTCCTGGAACCAGTCCAAGACCCCCTGGTGTTCTTGTGGCATCAATTCTCTTTCTGTTGCCTTCCCCGTCCTACTCTGACTTCCTTGTGATTCTCCTGTGCTACCTGCCTGTCCTCGCTAGCGTCTTTCTTAAATATATATATATTTATAGAGAGAGAGGAAGGGAGAGGGAGAGAGAGACATTGATAAGAGAGAACATCGATTGGTCACCTCCTGCATGCCCCCCACTGGGGATCAAGCCTGCGACCCGGGCATGTGCCCTGACCAGGAATGGAATCTGCGACCTCCTGGTTCGTGGATCAACTCTCAACCACCGAGCCGCACCGGCCAGGCCTAACCAGCACCTTTAACACATGCAGGTTTGATTGAGGTGATTCCGGGGCTGGGATATGATGGAGGGTAGCAAATCTTCATTACTTCTTGGTGCAGTGTTATGGGTTGAATCCACCTGTGGCGTCCTCCACGTCTCCTGGTTATGACGTTCTGACTGCCCTTTGCAAGTGGGATTTGAGGTGTGGGACCATCACCGTGTCTGCATTGTGGCCTCGGCCTCAGGCAAGGCCGTGGCCCACATGGCACCCGTCCCAGGGCCTCCAGGGGCCCCTCTCAAAGGGTCCAGCATGTCCCTGGGCATCTGTCTTCAAACATTCCCATAAACCTTTTGGGTGTCCAGGCAGGTGCTGCCTCAGTCTCCTTCTCTATACCTGCTAATGTCGTGCCTGTGCTTCCCGATGGTTCTTGGCGGGCCCAAGAAATACCCCACTGGGTCAACAACAACAAAAAAAGTGGAGTCATCACTATTTTATTGTTACCTGCTAATGGTTTGCTTAGGAGGTTTTGATAGTCAAGGGAAGGACAAAAGAAGTATTTTGTTACTTGTGTAAGTACAACCTGGTACCATAAAAAGCCTGGCGCCTCCTCTAGCACCAGAGGTTGGTTGTGTTTCAAGTGTTGTGAACAGACGTTTTGTCTTGTCTTTTAGCTGACATCCCAGCACCCGTACGCTGAAGTTTTCATCGGCCGGCCACATGTCTGGACTGTTGACCTGAGCAACCAGGGCGAAGTCGAGGACGCGGTGAAAGCGATTCTGAGTCAGAAGGTTGTTCTCTTAGTTCCTTTCCCCCCTTTTATGTGTGAACTGAAAAGTGTGGGGAGTATCACTGGTCCTTTGTGTGAATGATTAGAACTTTTCTAGGTCAGCTTAATTCTGGAATCAGAAAACAGCCGAGACACGTGGCCTGGGATTTCACAGATGTCTGAGACGGCACCGGGCTGGGGTCCAGGTGTGCGTGGTTCCAGGCCCCTTGACCGGACTCCTGGGCCCAGACACAGCAGTGGTGCTTGAATCCCAGTACTTGCTTGTCTACAAAGTGACTAACATCTCTGGGCTCTCTTGATCAGTAGACATTTATTAAGTACCTACTGCACTCAGAGCACCCCCTGAGCCACTCCAGGGGACACTCACATGCTTGAGGCTGGCGGCCACCTGTAGGGAGCTTACCACCAGGTAGGGACGGGCTAAGCTATCCTCTCTCCAGACCCCAGGACTGTCGCGGACTCTCAGGCATCCCGTCCCCTGCACTCATTTGAGCAGAGCACTTTGTCCTGTTATAATTTTTTTTTTTAATTCTCACCCGAGGATATTCTTCCATTTTTGGTTCAGATAGAGCAGGAGGGAGAGAGAGGAAGAGAGAGAGAGAGAGACAGACAGACAGACATCGACGTGAAAGGGACACATCGAGTGGCTGCCACCTGCACGACTCAACCAGGGCCAGGGACAAACTGCAACCGAGGTACGTGCCCTTAGCAGGAACTGAACCCGGGTCTCTCTGGACCGCAGACCGATGCTCTAACCACTGAGCCAAACCAGCCAGGGCCTGTTATAATTTTTAAGCGATGCACTGGAGGCGTGGTTGTGAAGGCAGACCGGAATCAGACAGTTTGGTGTGGGTTCCGGCTCTGCCACGTGCCAGCATCACCCCGTCAGGCGTGACTTCACCTTGAGCCTCAGTTTCCTCACCTCTCGTGCACACTAATGCGATGTGCCAGCGGGCAGCTGTGAGGTTTAATGAGACAGGGAGTGTGAAGAGCCTGAGTGCAGTGTCTACCGCACAGTATGTAACTGGTTAAAATTATTAAGTCAATATTAGTATTACATATATAATAATATGTTGTTCTTATCTGTCATTGATAGTCTAGATTTCCACTCGTCTCCAACAGCCATGAGAGTGGTGAATATATCTGTCTCACTTTGGTATTCTCAATCCAGCATAGTGGTTCCCCTGATGGATGGAGAGAGGGGGGAATAGGTGTTTGCAGAATATGTTCGGTGCCAATAACAACATGCAGATGGCTGAGGAGTGTAAGTGGGGAGAGACTTTCTGGAAAGTGCAGCACTGAGTCAAGTCTTACAGGATGAGTAGGGTCTGCAGAGCTAAACCGTGAGCCCAGAAGGGCTCCAGGCAGTGTGAGTGAAGGGAAGAGCCTGGAAAAGCATGAGTCCTGGGAGGAATAGCCATTGACCCATGGAGAAGACCATGTTTCCTCTTTGAGAAATGAAATGTGACCCCCCAGACTGCCAAGTCCAACTCACTCAAAGCATCTCCGGGGGAACAGGAACACAGCTGTGTTTCACCATGTTCTGCAGAGGGTCTGGCTGTAGACTCTGGGTGGATCTTCCCAGAGCTTCTCGTTAATGACATAGTCTCAGTCCTGGTCTTCACAGTTTAGGGCAGAAGTCCCCCAGACCTCGGGGCCAAGCCAAGGGAGTGCTGAGTGGAGTGTGGTACCACTGGACTCCATCAGAACATCTGCCGCACACCTGAAGCCTCACCACCAGAAGGCATTCCTGTGGGGACTGGAGGTTTTCCTTCCTTCTTGAGTCTCCCAGTCCCTTAGTGTATTAGTGTCTTGGGGCTGCCATAACAAGGAAACACAAATTCAGTGGCTTAAACAACAGAAATTTATTTTCTCATGCTTTTAGAGGCTAGAAGTCTGAAATTAAGATATCAGCAGCACCATGATCCCCTCAAAACCTCTAGAATAGGACCCTTTGTGTTTTACACCTTCTGGTGGCTCAGGTGTTCCTTGATTTTCAGCTGCCACGCTGTAACCTCCATCTTTGTCATCACATGGCAGTCTCCCTGTGTGTGTGTGGGGGGGTCTGTCTGTCTGCTCTACTTACAAGGACATCAGTCATCCTGGATGCGGGCCCACTCAAATCCAGTATGACCTCATTTTAACTTGACTACCTCTACAAAGACCCTATTTACAAATAAGATCATGTTCACAGGTACTGGGAGTTGGGACTTTATCATATCTTTTGGGAGGGTCTCAATACAACCCACATACTTGGTTAGGTGCACATCCCCTTTAAGAGGATTAATTTAAAAGCTAATAGAGAGGTAGAAAATCTTGGATCATGGAGCCCCCCTTTTGTCAAACAGAAGTCAAAGGGGAACTTCTGATGCATAAAACATTAGGAGTGGAGCATGAGTTCTCTGCTCGCTCCATCCTGCGTGAGGCTGACTGTTCACACCATGGAAGCTTCGTGCTCCACATTGTCACACCCTGATCAGCCTTTTCCACCTTATTCCAAAAATTATGTAGGCCATTTATGGGGGAAAGTAATTATAATGGAGCTGATGTAGAGAGAACCTCTTTCTACAGATCTAGAGTCTTTCTGTATACCTTTACGAGCCTCCTGTAACCCTTCTTCAGTTGAGAAGATTAAGACTTAAGGAAATTGAGTAATTTACTCAAGATCACACATTTAGTAAGTAGTAAAACCTGGATTGACACCTAGGTCTTTTTGAATAGTCTGTTGGAATAATAGAATTTTTAGAAGCATGAAGTAGAGTAAAGGGGAAGAGAGATGAAGTAAGGAATGAGATGACTACAAAACTGTCGTCATTAAAACCTTCCCCTTGTTAGAAATGGGTCAGAAATCTGGTGCCAAATTTTCTCATCTTTAATTACAAGATTTTAAATTACACAACAATAAAGCAAGAAAACATGACCCATCATTAAGAGAAGAAATAGTGAATAAAACCAGACCTAGTGATGTCCCAGGTGTTAGAATGATCATACAGCCCCTTAAAAATGCTAAGATAGCCCTGGCCTGTTTGGCTCAGCGGCTAGAGCGTCAGCCTGTGGTCCAGAGAGACCGGAGTTCGGGTCCCGCTAAGGGCATGTACCTCGGTTGCAGTTTGTCCCAGGCCCTGGTTGGGTTGTGTGGGTGGCGACCACTCGATGTGTCCCTTTCACATCAATGTCTGTCTCTCTCTCTCTCTCTCTCTCTCTCTCTCTCTCTCTCCCCCCCCCCCACCCCCATTCCTCCCTCCTTCCCTCCCATTCTATCTAAACAAAATTTCGAAAAATGTCCTCGGGTGAGGATAATAAATAAATAAAATGCTAAGATAAATACATTAAGAGACTTGGTGGAAAAGGTACCCAACATATGTGCAGAGTTGGGGGATTTCCGCAGAGAGATGGACATTTTTTAAAAACCCAATGAGAAAATGCTAATACTGAAAAATACAGTATCAGAAATGAAGAATTCTTTCAGTGGGCTTGTCATCAGACTGTACACAGCGGAAGGAAATATCACTGAACTTGAAGACTTCTCAGTCGAAATTATCCAGGTTGAAACACAAAGATGGAGGAGAAGGCGGGAAGATGATGGAAAGTTTCCAAAGCTAGAAGGAGCTGCATAGTGCAGCCAGCAGGCATCCTCCTGTGGCCGCATGATTCACGGTCCATTCTCCACAAAGCAGGATGACTGAGAACTTTCCCGCTCTGCTCACAAGTTGCCCTACTTGGGTTTCTTAGTGACTGGGTGTGGTATCAGCATTCCCTTCCACTCCATTCCCCAAAGAGGCCTTGCCTTGTTCCCAAAGGACTGACACACACACACACACACTCACACTCACACTCACACTCATTCTCTCTCTGTCTCTCTCTCACCTGCACAACAGCTCCTACATTAGAGCTGTGCTAGTGTTCTTCAGCCCCAAAGCCAGGGCTTGTTCCCAGAGGCCCTGTTCCCGTCCACAGCAGGATGGCCAGCGCAGCGCAGGATGGTAGAGGCGGCTTACGAATACAATTTTGTTTTTTATGCTTTTCCTTTATAGGAAAATTGTTTGGCTTTGTATCTTTTAAAACAGTGAATTGGGCCACAAAGCAATGAATGAGTCAGCCTCCCTTTGGTTAAACTGAGTTTGGTTGCTAGGAGGACCCAGGACGAACTATTTGTATGTGTTGCATTGAGCCCTGTGAATTAATTAACTTCCATTTATAGAAGGTTTCTGGAATCATCCACTGGTTGAGTCAATAAATAGAAAAGAAGTTTTCGTTTGGTGTAAAGGGCTCTGTCGGGGTTGAAGAGGATCCAGCAAGTGCAAAAGCACAAGCTCGGAACAGGGAAGTCAGTTTTTCAAAGTGCTTTGAATTCTTCAGAAATGAACTGTCGAGGAGCAGAGTGACCTCTAGGCTCACAGAATACTCATGCCTGATGTTATAATACTTAATGCTCAGCCTCTTTTAGTCCTGCCTGGGTAGAGATGGGCAGGGATGGTGAGATACAGCTTGTGTGAGGCACCATCCAGTTGTCTGTTTGAAGGTGTGTCATGAGCTTAACAATCATGGTTGAAGACTTCAGATGTACAGCCGTCCCTCGTCTCTTCGCGCCTCGACCTTCGCGGCTTTGCTCTGTTGCATACATAGTATATTCTCTGAGAAGACCACGACGGGGTGAAGCCGCGAAAGTCGAAGCGCGAAGTGGCGAGGGGCGACTGTGTATAAGTAACGAATCCTACTTCGCGGAAATTCATTTATCGCGGTGGAGTCTGGAACTGATTAACCGCAATAAACAAGGGCCGACCGTGGTGTGTAAATCGACACACACGCACAAAGGAGAGGATGCCCTGAACCAACAGCTCGTGTGCCGGCAGAGGGAGGCTGCTCTGTCAGCTGTCCCATGATTGAGCCAGCCTCAGCTCATCGGTGTTTGTCCAGTGCTCTGCCCAGGAGACTCAAGATAGGCAGTATAGACTTAACAGGGCAATGGTGAGGGTGCCCCTCTGTCCTGTGCTTTTGGGCTCTGAAGCGTAGCACACTGGATTGCTCATGGTTCTTTGCCGAGTGAGATTTCCATTTCAGGTTGGTGATGCTCACTGGCTGCCCCCGGGGCACAGGCTTCATAATGTGCAGCAGAGACCAACCTCACAGTTCGTCCCTACCCACAGGTGTCACGGTGTTGATCAGATTGCCTCCCCAGCCCCAACAAAGCACCTCTAAGTTTCTAGTTACCCTCAAAATCTGGGCTCTGTCGTGTAGAGATCTCAGGGCTTTGGCGGAAATCCAGGGCAGCTCTTCCCAGCCTTGTCTCCCAGCCTCCGTGCTCCCGAGCTCTGCCCTCCCGCTGCCTGCCCTGGTGTCTGTTCTCACGTCGCTCACTGTGCCTGCGGTGTCTCCCGCACCACGACCTGCTAGAATCGTAGCTGCCCTGAAAGCGCAAGTCTGCTTTGACCTTCGAGCCTCCTGTGGTGGACTCTTTGTGGTGCTTTACCACTCTGGTTTTTCATCACATTTCTTCGGGTACACGTCAGTCTCACCTGCGAAAGTAGAACAGTGTTTTGTCACCATCGTGGGTCCTTAAACTACTCCTCATGAGCCTTTCTCAGAGCAGTGAGCCGCATTCATTCAGCAGCCGTTTGTGTGAAGGTGGAGTTCCCGCCTGTGCCACACTGCTCAGACCGAGCGCAGCGGACACGCCCAGAGGCTTCCCTTCTGAAGTGATTCTCCCCCGTTTGCCGAATGCCTGCTCCGCACCGGCCGGTGCAAAGTGCTCTACCCCCGCCCCGTAGACACTCGCCACAGCGTCAAAGAGGAAGGTTTTTCTCACCACCGTTTTACACATGAAAACCTGAGGCCCAGAGATGGAAGGCAGCTGGCTCAGGGCCCCACAGTTAGTGAGGTTGTGAACCCAGGTCTCTGGGCTCGTGGCTGTGGCCTTCGCGAGGCCGACATGGGCGTCGGACCTGAGTATGTGAGTCCGGGGGGATGGGCAGGTGTCCCTGGTGCGTCTTCCTCGTCTGTGACACCACGCTCTGTTCCCGCAGACCGAGCCCTACATGCCGTATGAGTTCACGTGCGAGGGGGTGCTGCAGAGGATCAACGCTTTCATTGAAAAGCAGGTAAGGCTCTTCAGAAGTCCGTCTGTCTGTGCTGTGTCCGGTGTCCTGCTTCCTGTTCCCCGGGGGGCTCTCATGCGTGGTTAAGGGCTCACTGTGTTTCTGTGTTCATTTTCCTGATTTGGAAGACTGTAGAAGTTGGGTGACGACTTGTTGGAATGCTAAAGCATGCCCTGTCATGGTCGCTGAGGGGAGTCCGTCTGTCCTGGGGAAGGATGTTCTGTGTGACTGTGGAAGGCCCAGGGGAAACTCACGGGAGAAAGTGGATGGTCAAGAGGAAAACCCACTTGACCATCAGAGCTCCACGTTGACTGGGTTCTGAGGGGCTTCTCAAAGGCTTGGGTGGGGAGGGGGACAAGGGACAGCTCTCGGGTCCTGCCCAGTGGTCCTTTCTCACCCTAAGAAAAGCAAGGACTGAACCCTGTGGTTTCTAAGCGTTCCTTTAGTAAGTGTTACGTTAGGATTTTTCAGTGGTCTTCAAACATCCTTAAAACAGGACCCCTTTTCAAACAGACTGTACATGAAACCTAAGCGTATAAAACAGGTAAAAGCAGAACTTCATTTCCAAAGCAGGGGAGGGTTCTGTAGGTCCCATCAGAGTGTGATGCTGCGGCTCGTGCGCATGGAAGCAAAGACCAAGAGTGTCACTGCCGTCACTTATGACCCTTCAGTTCCTTGGGCTCCGGAAGCCACACAGAGCTGGAACTAGGCAGACTGAGAAACCCTGTGGGTAGGGGAGAATGAGGAACTCCTTGACCAGATTCCAGAAGTCAGGGGCCCTCGCCAAGGGCAGAGCGGAGTGTCTTGGGGTGATCAAGAGGTCTTTACCCAGCAAGGGATGAGGATTGTGCGGACTCGGTAGGAATGGTACGTTGAAAATGTAAGTAGGCCTAGGTCCTGGGCGCAGTCTAGGTTTCAGAGGAACAGTTTGGGTTGGCAGACTGGTGAGCAGTGACCGTCCGGAGCTGCTGCTGGAGAGGGACAGCCATGGGGCCTAGGCTTCAGGGTGGTGGGTCTGGTTCTGTGATTTTTTTCTTTACCACAAGGCGGCACACTCTGCAGCTAGCCACCTGGGGTCCAGTCGCGGCACCATGACTTCCTGGTGCATGACTTAGGCGTGTTACTCAGCGTCTCTGTGCCTGAGTTCCCTCCCCTGTGAAAGGGTGATAGCACAACTGCAAAGGGTCGATGTGGGCATGAGATGAGCTGATGCACGGGGAGCGCTTGGGAAAGGGCTGGCACACCATGCTCAATAAATGCAAACTAGCATGGATGGCGCAGTGCGTGACAGCATAATATTGTGGTATGTTCCACATAGCATATCTTATTACCATGCTGTGTTACACTGTGTGACCCATCAGACTTCACCATGAGAGCTAAGCATCTGGATGGTTATCACTCAGTTTTGTATGACGCTTAAAAGAAGCACAGCAGACAGTCCCTGCTCCTGCCCCCCCAGCCGTCTGTCTCCCCACAGACTTTATGCCAGTGCGAACCGAGCTCACGACAGCGCGTCATCCCAGTTCATTCTCACGCAGTCCTGGGAGGTGACAGCGGGGACTGGGACTCGCAGTCACAGAGCTCACAGGTCCTGCCGTCCGGCTCGGTGCTGGGCGGGTGTGAGCCCAGGCCTGCACCAGCGGCTCTGCGGGCTCAGCGTGGCAGGTGGCCCAGAGCTACACGTCCCCTGTGCTGTCCCCTCGGGCTGCGGTCCTTCCTGGGGGGCAGGCGGGAGCTGCCGTGACCTCCTCTGGCAGTGCGTTTTAACACACAGCCCTGAAGACCGTCCGGGAGGCTGCCTGAGGTTCACCAGGATCCCTGCTTCTGAAACCCACCTCCCCCTTTCCTGCCCCACTTCCTGTCAGAGAAACGGGCTACTCACCACAAGTAAAAAGACTCTTTATCAAGTTTATTTGAAGGTTTTTATTTCTTTCTTCCCTAAGATTCTTGAATCCCAGCCAGTCCCTAAAAGTTCTCATGTGGCTTGTTCTCTGTAAATCTCTTACTCGGTCTCCTTTCAGACAGGAAGGTCGGTCCCCAAGCAGACCTGGATGCTCTGTAAGGCAGGGGCTGTGCCCAGCGTGTTCACTGCCGCGCCCTGCGCCCTGTGCCCGGCCCTGTGCCCAGCTCTGCGCCCTGTGCCCTGCGCCCAGCCCTGTGCCCGGCCCTGTGCCCTGTGCCCGGCCCTGCGCCCTGTGCCCAGCTCTGCGCCCTGTGCCCTGCGCCCAGCCCTGTGCCCGGCCCTGTGCCCTGTGCCCGGCCCTGTGCCCTGTGCCCGGCCCTGCGCCCTGTGCCCGGCCCTGTGCCCTGTGCCCGGCCCTGTGCCCGGCCCTGTGCCCTGCGCCCTGTGCCCGGCCCTGCGCCCTGTGCCCAGCCCTGCGCCCTGTGCCCAGCCCTGCGCCCTGTGCCCGGCAAGCTGAGGGAGTGAACGAAGTGGGTGAGAGGGTCAGTGAGTGAGCACATGTGTTTCATTTTGTGTGTTTTTCTCATGTGTACCAGGAAGCTTATCTTGGACCTTATGACTGGAAAACATGTCACTGTGAAAACACGCTAATGAAGAAACCACCCTTTCGCCCCACCTCTGGGCGTAGACGTCTCCGCAGGGCCCTGTGGCTCAGAGACCCAGAGATTCCTCCTTGCCCACTGTTCGTTCGTTCTGCTCTGCAAATAGATGCCGGCTGTGTGCTGTGGACTGGGCTGGGCGTTGGGGAAGAAAAGATGTCAGAGGACTAGCCCCTGTCCTCAGGTAGCTTCATGTGTCACAGAGAAGCCAGTCAGGTCCACAGGCAACGCCACGGGGCAGGTTGCGCCCTGCAGTCGTGATGTGACCAGGATGCTTCGGGGTGCTTAGCTCGCCTGCAGGTCGGGGACGGGGACTCTCTCCCAAAGCATTTACAGAAATGAGTCCTGAAGGCAGACTGGGGCTATGGGGTGTACGGGTGGGGGCGGGATAAAGAGAAGTTGAGGTGAATTATTGGAAGTTTAGTGGTGACTGAAGGGACAGACAATGTAAAGGATGAGGCTAGAGCAGGAGGTGAACCATGCAGCGATGCTGAGGCTCAGCTGAAGGATTCAGGTTTGATTGGGGGACAACGAGAAGCTAAAGAAAGGTCTCGAGGCCGGGTGAGGGCAGTGATGCTGTCAGATTGGTGTTTTAGGAAAACCGTTCCCGGTCTCTCCCAGGGTTTTCTTACTAACCCCTCTCCCAGGGCTGCAGGAGAGCGGTAAGTGGCCTGTCGTGCGCTTATCCCAGGCCCCTGTGGCCTAACGTTCCCCCAGCTCCCCCCGAGGGCAGGCCTCCAGAACCCCACTGACTGACAGCTGGGGCCTCTGCCTGAAACAGTCGCCTCGGGCCCCGGTGTTTTGGAGCTTTGAATGCTCCCTTATTTTTGCAGCTAGAGGGACATCTTCAAAGGGCCAGGAGCCGGGAGCCGGGAGAGGGGGTGTTGCCGGTGGGAACAGGAAAGCCTCGGGCTCTGAAGAGGTGGTAACCACCCCCCCCCACCCCACCCCCCCACCCCGGCTTCCCTTAGGAGCGAAGCTCTAATTAGACAGCTTTCCACCTTCAAGCCCTCCCTGTGATCTACAAGGGGAACGAGGAAGCTTTCATCCCAGAGCCCTTTCAGAGGTGTCCATCAGCTCACCCAAGTCATCAGGAGCCAGAGGAAGCCCATTGACAAAGCCCCGGGCTCAGCGGGAGACCGTCCGTCCTGCCGGCTGGCCGGAGCACCCCACGGAACGAGTCCTGGCTTCAGGAAAACGGCTTCTCTTTCCCTTTTATGTCCTTGCCTCCCGTTTGCTGTACTAAAAATGTCGATGGATCGCAAGGTCTTATAAATCATCTCCCTAAATGAGGGCCCCTCGCCAGCAGCAGGGGTTGGTGGCAAGGCAGATTCCTGTGATCTGAGACCAGAGACCCTTCCCCGTAACCGAGTGGGGCAGCTGTTAGGGCTCTCAGGCATTTCTTGGGAAAGAGCTGGGTATTTGCCGCAGGCCAGAGAGTGTAGCAGTTTCTCTTGAAGGAATAGCAATGCTCAGATTGATTTCTGAAAACCATACCTATGCTCTTCAACCCTGTTTTCTACTTGCGGTACAGACCCCAGAGATATGGAGGGTGATTGCTCTCACGTTATTTTGCAAAGAGCTATGTAATTCACATGAAAAACGTTCTGGAGCTTTGGAGGGGAAAACGGGTTAATTCCAGGAGCCACTGGAATCAGCTTCAGTCCTGGGAGACCGGCTCATCGGAGCCCACTTTGAACTCCCTGTGAGTGAGGACAAGCCCGGCAGTGAGTCCTGGCAGTCCGGGTGCGGGGAGTGGTGGGGCGACAGGCCGCAGGGCCAGAAGAGAAGGAATTGAAACGGGGAGAGGTTATCACTAGCTTGGGGGATGTTTGCGCTTTCGAAAAATCGACTCTGCTGTTGGCCTAGCCATTCCTGACCCCAACTTAAGCAGGGGGCTCTGTCCCGTCTGTTATCCTGGGCAACTGCCCTAACCTCACTGCTGTTTCTCTTCTGTGCGGTGGGGATACTACTGCCTACCCCACAGAGCTGGTAGAGGAGTCAATAGATTAACACGTTTAGGGCCAAGACAGTGCCTGGCTCAGAATAAACTCTCTGAAAGGCTTAGCTACTTGCCACTGCACGAGCCCGGAAACCAACCCAGGTGTTTTTAAAACAACCCCATTGAAGTATAGTTTATAAACCATGAAATTCACTTCTCGTAAGGATACAATTCAGTGATTTTTTTAAGCAAGTTGATAGCTGTACAATTACCATAACAATGTAGTTTGATAATGATTTCATCACTTTCAGCTCTTTTGTGCCTATCTGTAGTCATTGCTTGCTCCCTCACCCCAGCCCCAGGAAATCCTGATCTGTGCTCAGTCTCTAGAAGTGCCTTTGCTGGGGGTCTCTGGCTTCTTTTCCTCAGCACAATGTCTGTGAGGTTCATGCACGTTACAGCGTGTATCAGTGCTTCTTTCCTTTTTTATTGCTGACTA